ATTTTTTTCTTCTTTTTAAAATCAGTGTCACAGAGGAAGATGCTGTTACAACAGCTGGTACCGTTCACTATCTTGAGAATGAGCAAATCTTTCAAGTGCTGTTTTCTTTGCATCAAGAAGTGCATTTCTTCTTGGTGAAAGGGAGAATAATCAGTAAGTCAAGACCAGAAGTTTTGTGATGCCTTCTCAGGGAAGAGACTTTCCAGGGTGCTTGGGGCCTGTTCTCTCTGGCTCCCTGCTGCTCTTGGCTCACTGCAAAATTTAGCAGATTAATCATGGTGCTCCATAGAGACTTATTTTTAGCTCTGTTGACTTCTAAACTGTAGGCAAACAAACATGCAATAGACAGAGTACCTTGCAGGTGGGCAGCAGAGCCCTCCAAAAGGAAAATAGCCCTCCATTAGGTAGAGAACTACTTATACCAAGAGGAAGAATACTAGCTATGGTACCTTAGGTAGAAAGTGTTTAAAGAAGATTAAATCAAGCTAAAAGCCTCAGGGATTTCAGTCTGTCTGGCTTCCCTCATTGTCTCCTGCCACTCTCCCCGATCATTCACTAGGCTCTAGCCAAGACATCATCTTCTTACTCCTCAAACACAGTCCCTGCCCCTCTGCGCCTAAATCTGCACACGGCTTATTCCTTTACTCCATTGAAGTTGCTGCTCAAATGTTACCTCTTCTGTGAGACCTTCTCTGAGAATTCAATGTAAATTGCCACTAAAATATCCCCACTGCAGCTACTGTCTAACCTTTCACCTGGTTAAGTTTTCTTCCTCTTATTTATTCTTATCTCAAGTGTTACAAAAATGTACCCTAGTTTATTTATTGATTATCCCTTCTCCGTTATAATAGAAGCACAGGAACTTTGAGCAGGAACTTTGTCTCGTTGTCTCGTTGACTGGTGAATCTCCATACCTAGAACACTGCCATATATAGTTGGTTTTTAGGAATAATTGTGTCAGTGAACGAATGAACGAATCTTCCCCCCTACCTCACTTGTGAAGGTGATTTTGTAGCAGCTTTACTGCCCCTCACTAAGGAGCTATAAATAAGTCTGGGTCTGATGTTGGATAGTTTCCCTTTTGTCTCCCTCCCTCATCATGAACACTGCCAAAAAGCATATTCTTCTCCCTTACCTCACTTTCTTTTACTTTTGTGTCTAGTTTGTTTCTTCAACCTTGCCTCTGGAGAATCTCCTTAGAGCTTCAGCCTTTTCCTAGGTGTCTCTCTGTGCTTTTTTTTTCCCCCAGCTTTATTGAGGTCTGATTGGCAAATAAAAATTGTGTATGTTTAGGTTGTACAATGTTATTTTAAGGTGTACAACGTGATCACAATATACATATACATAATTGAGGAGAGAACACTTAAGATCTACTCTCTTAGCAAATTTCAAGTATACAATACAGTATTGTTAACTGTGGTCACCATTTTGTGCATTAGATCCCCAGAACTTATTCATGTTATAACTGAAAGGTTGTATCCTTTGACCAACATCATTATTTCCCCAGCCCTCAGCCCCTAGCAACCACTGTTCTACTCTCTGGTTCTACGAGTTCTACTTTTTTAGATTCTATATATAACTGAGATCATACTATATGTGTCCTTCTGTGCTTGGCTTATTTCACTTAGCATAATGTCTTCCATATTCATCCATGTCGTTGCAAATGGCAGGATTTTCTTCTCTTGTACTCTTCATCATAATGGGAACTTGGTCTTTCCCATCTGGATCGAGCCTTTTAATGTCAGAGTATAATTACTGTCCAAGAGCAGTGACCCAGAGAAGCCCACAATGGCATCCTCGTTGCTGCAGAAGTTCCTGTGGGACTTAATTCATCCCTGACACTTAATTCAGCACTGTGATAGTTTTTTCTCCCCTAACAAAATGTAACAGGTAGTCCTGCATTAAAACCTCTTACCAACTCTGCAAGCATGAGAGGAAAAGTCAACATGCCAAAGGGCAGTTGAGTAGAAAGGTCTTACATCTTTGATGACATTACTGAGCTGCTGAGAATTACCCTAACATCACTTTCCTTTAGGCTTCTTATGGTTTAAACTGCTGTTGGTCAGACACTCCATAACTTTACGGAGGGAAGAAATCCTAACAGGGTTGTGGGATTGAGCAAGGATTTCTTTAGGGATGGAAGATACTTGCATTTTTATATAAATTCCTTTATTTTTTCTTTGCTTTATTATTATTATTATCATACCATTATTTGCAAACATTATCAAATTACCAGTGTACATTTGGGTTTACCTATACTTTCTGTATAGAACTTTATAACAATTCTATTAAAATCAAGAACAAGACAAAAATGCCTATTATTCTGTTATTCGACATCGTTTTATAAGTTTTAGCCAATACAGTTAAAAAATAAATGAAAAGGTTATTGTAAATATTGGTAAACAGTAAAATTTCCGTTTTCATATTAGAAGATTGTTTTCCTAGAAAAGAGATTCTACTTTAGGTCTCAGTTTTCACATCTAGAGAACAGATATAATAGTATCTACTTTATAGAGATATTATAAGGATTAAATGAGCTGATACATAAAAGACGTAGAACAATGCCTAGCCCATTGTTAACTCTCCATAAATGTCACGTTATTATTATTTAAATAATTGAACAGGGTGACTGGATACAAAACTAAAATACCTTTTTAAAAATTAGCTTGACTTTTAATAAACAGAAATTTAAATGTCGGGAGGAAATCCCATTATTAATAAAAACCCAAACTATAAAATGCCTAGAAATAAAATCACAAGACAAAGACCTAAATAAATAAAACTATGAAATCTTATTAAATGGAGTGAGAACTTTCTAAGATAGATTGATAAAATGTCCTAACAATGGCTACCTGTCCCAAAAGTAATTTATATATTTAATGAATTTTAACCAGAATCTCAGTTTGATATTTATTTACACTGGATATGATGATTTTAAAGATCAATGGAGGAATAGCAGAACAGTCAAGTAAATTTTTACGGAAAGATGAAAGGGTGATACTACAATTTGTTGTATATCTAATGTAATAAAATTAGATTTTATTGTGTGGGGACAGAAGGGTATATGAGAACGCTCTGTATTTTCTGCTCAGTTTTGCTGAGAACCTAAAACTTTTCTAAAAAATATAGTTTATTTAACATAAATAAGCCAAAAAAATGATGAATTTGGCATAATAATAGACAAAAAGATCAATGAACAGAATCCAAAATTGGTTTAAGTAGATATGTCTTAATATCTGACCAAGTGGGAAAGGGTAGTTTATTTAGTAAATTATGTTAATAGAATTGCATCTAAAGCAAAACAGGTTAGACTAGTGCATCATACCATGTACAAAAAATTCTAGATAAATTAAAAATCTAAATGTAAAATGTAAAATTTTAGAAAAACATTTGTATTAGAGAGGGGCAGACCTTAAGCAAATCATGAAATCCAGAAGCCTAATGCAAAATATGGGCATTTTATGCATGTAAATATTAAAATCTTTACATGAGAAAACACAATATAAGCAACATTTTAAAAGGCAAATAGACTTGGGAAAATTATTTTCAGCACGTGGCAAATAAAGAGTTTATATCATGAATTATATTGAGAACTCTTACAAATTGATAATATTAGAAACAGAAGGTAGAAGGGCAGAGGATATAAAGAATTTTCAAAGGATTATATGAAATGGCTAATAAACATTTTAAAATTCTTTAACTATCTTGAAGTAAAATGAAATACCATTTTTCACATATTAGATTAGCAAAAATTGAGAAAGTAGTAATGTACTGCAGTATTTATGTGGTTGAATAGAAACAATTTGAATGTCTATCACCAGGGGAATGACTTAATACGTATGACATGTACATACTATAGAATGTTATTTAGTTACTTTTACAATACATTTTTTTATGCATTGATGTATTTCTAAGTAAAAAGCAAGCTGCAGAATCATGTGTATGTGATCTCATATTTGTAAAACAAACCCAAATTAATTGTCTTAAACAATCTCTGTATTTGTATACATGAGCATAAAGAAAGGGAAGGAAGGACGCCCATTAAGCTCTAACATTAGTTACTTCAATAAGACATAATGGGGAAGGGGAATTATTAAACTTTTCCTTGTATATATCTGCATTATTTAATTTGATAGAGCAAGAATATATATCTTTGTATTTGAAAAATAATTAAGTTATTTCCTCTTCTAGCTATGGACTGAAGATAACGGAGAGCTACTAAGGCAGTAAGGACCTGAAGGGTCAAAGAACATGAAGTAGGGAAGGCACTGAGAAGAGAGATGAAATTCTTCAGCGCTTTTCTCTTTGAAACATTTGCAGATCCACAAACTGTAGTCTACTGAAAAGCTCTACATAACATACTAAGAGATTGAGAGAGTACATAGAATTTCAAGCATTCTAATCATGTGGAGACAAAAAGATTGAGTTGGAAGAACATAGCAAGGAGAGTCTTCAAAGGCACGAAATTCAGGAACAACTCTTAAAGAGAATTGTTCTCTTCCATAGAAGATGAACGAAGTTCTTCTATCTCTTTGAGTATTTTCAAGATGTCCTGAGAGGAAAGGGGAAGGATGTAAGGGCCAAACTGAGACAAAGGAACTTGAATAAATAGGGAA